CTTGTTTACCTTCAAGCCTTTAAGACCCCAGACGCTATATCTTTTGATAGCCGGGCACCACCTATTACTCTTAAGCAGTGCGTCTCAAACTTGCAGGCATATATACATCGACAAGGATCTTGTGAGAGTGTAGATTCTGATTCCATGGGTCTGTGATGAGGCCTGGGTTCCTTTATTCCTAACTATCCCCTAGGTGACACCAATAGTGCTGGTACATGAGCAGTAAAACTGGGTAGTAAAACTTCAATGTGTTTTGTTGAAAGTCACAAAACATATTTAACTATGTTTGAGTGTTTTTTGTTTTTTAGCTAGTTCTATGAGAAAAGAAATCTTAACTTGTTGCCATTGGGTTGACTCCACTCATGGCGACGCCATGGTTCACAGAGGAAAACTGCTTTATAGGGTTTCTCTGCTGGAGTCTTTATGGAAGTAGGTCCACAAAGGCCTGTTTCCTGGTGATGATGGGTGGATTTCAACCATGAACTTTTACGCTCATTGTCAGGCAGAAACCATATATTCCATGCAGACTTTAGTTTCATGAAAGGTGGTATTTAATACATACTCACCTATTCCAGTAACTTAGTATGATATTGAGGGACAATTTTGAAATGTAATTCCTGAGTTATTTCACACACACACACACACACACACACAATAATAATGGTGAGACAGCCTCTAAGACACAGGGGGAGAATTCTCCTCTGAGAAATCTTGAGTGGTCAAAGTTAGCATTTGCAGAGATATATTCTGAAGCAGGAGCATGATTTACTTCGACAAGGTTAAAAGTGTTTTTACTTAAAGAAAGAAAGTACTTTAAGAAAAGGACTCAACCACCTTGGTGGCATTAAACCCACTGCCACGGAGACAATTTTGACTCTTGGTAACTCTATATAGGGATCGCAACAGAAGGGGGTGGGGGGAGGGGCAGTATTATGTTTAAAGAATGAAAAAATGTTCACTCTGATTTGGGAGATCATTTAGAGCAAAATTCTCTTCCAATGTTATCATTAGAAATTGCTTTTTCAAAAAAACCCTATTCATATTAAAACACACACACATACACACGATTAAACACAACTGAAATCATGTTGAAGTTTTTAATATGTTACTACTGACCTTGACTGACCTTGACTGCATTACATTGTGCTGTGGCTGAAGGTGTACATAGCAAATTCGTTTTCCCATCAATAATCACACACTGTGAGATTGCTTGCAATCCTGCTGCCCTGCCGCCTGCACTGTATCCACCCTCCCCGACTTCTGCTTTCAGTCATGTGCATTCTCTCTTCCTGCCTCCCCATCTTTGGTTGGAGGCAAGTGTTGATCTTTGGGTCTCCAATAGTATCTCGTCTATAGAGATTCTTTGAAGAAGCAGAGTCTTTTTTAGTGTAACTGTGTCTTTTATAGGCCCATCCATTACTTGAGTGAGAGGCAGCCTCTGGAAGTGTCTTGAGTTTGCCGTGAGAAGGTTGTTTTCGGGCCATCAACCACCTTGGGGGTTTCCTCCAGTTTCTTTCAGCCCCATACATTTGGTCACCATCATCTTTTCCTCTTTCTCTTCTAATTTGAACTTCGTTCGACATTTGACCCATTCCAGACCAGCCCACCTAATGTGACCTTGCTCAGCATGTATGGTAGTGGTAGCTTGACACCATCTAATTACGTGTTTTAGTCATGGGCTATTATTGATTGCTTCCTCGAGTGTTTCGTTTTCTTCATTCTCCTTTGTTGCAGGTAGGATCTAGTTGCTTAGATTCAAAAGTGTTGACTGCTAATATTACATAGTCTAATCCTGTGAATTAAAAATGAAACCCCCAAACCTTAGTAACATGATGCTTTCAAAGGCCGCCTTTCCAGTGTCAGTCATCCCCAGTGGAGAATCCTAATGCTAGTTAGGACGAGTTTGCTAAAACCTCATCATAGAGTCCGTCAAATTTATAGCTTGAAGAAAACTAATGCTTGATTCCATGGTCTTAAATACAAAGAGTAATGTGCAGAAAAACGGCTTTTCCTGCCTTTTATACTCACAATACAAATATTCCTACCTATCCAAATAGAGCTTATTATCTGTGAACCTGAATGTATGGAATCTAGCTCTTAGTTAAAGAGTAAAACCTACTATTAAGTAAATGGATATATAAAATACATGTATTAAAGGTAAACCCACATTTAATTAAAGCAAGTATTTATTTGCGTTAATTTAAAAACTGTGGGGGAAATGTAGAAAATATAGATTGCAGGCTCTCCATACTCAATGGCTTATAATAACTTCTAACCTAGTCCTCAGGGGAACAAACCCTAAACGTAAATTGCCACTTGACTATAATTACAAGCAACATGTAAACCAGTACAAATTAATATACTGACTTCCTGGTAAAGGAAAACAGTTAGGGAGTATCCAAAGGCAGTGTGATTTATCTGGAAAGACAGGATGGAGGAGGTGACTTTGATGATTAAGTCCGTTCCCAGAGAGCAAGGAGTCTTAAATCTGACTGCACACTGCAATCATTTGGAGGGTTTTTGTTAATACTCATGTTTGTGCCCATTCATCAGAATTTCAGGTTTCAGGTAGTCTGGGGTGGGAGCCAAGTATTGGCAAGCTAAAAATCTCCCTGGGAGATTCAAATAGGCAGTCTTGCTTAAGAAATGTTGATATAATGGTGGGCCATTCTAAATGGAACCTTATTGTGAGGGGTAGTGGGAGGGAGTTTACATGAGATGGCTTCTCAGGTAGCACCTCACTCTAGGATTCTATGAAGCGTGTTATTTTCAAGGTCACAGAGGGAGAGGTTGACAAGTCATGGATGTGATTGGCAAGTGGATTGAGTTGGCCAAAGCAGCAATGCCCCGATTGGATAAAATTAAAGATAACCCAAGAGATAAGTGGCAGGTAATCACTGATTGCTTGCGGTTTGAGGTGGGGGGACCAGCCCCTCACCACTAATCATGGGTTCAGTAAGCACAATTGTACGGTTGAGATATAAAAATATTATAATAAAGTCATTGAAAGCATGAGATATAGAAGAGATATTGCAATAATGGAGTCAGACACATTTCATGGTAGCATGCTCACCTCAGCCCTGATTGATGGTCCACTGGAGAGAGGGGAAAAGGAAGGAGGGCAAGGGAACAAGGGAACAAGGGAGCGAGGATGGGAGAGGAGAGGAGGAGCTGAGTGAGAGGGAGCGAGAGAGGTTGCTACTGCTAACTCAGGCCTATATACCTTTGGGGGCATGCAAGCCCACTAATTACAGGTAGACAAACGTCACAGGAAGGGGTTGCACGATAGGTTATACAGCAGTGAGAGGGGGTGGTCTAGGGACATACATGCAATAGAAAGAGGAGGGATTGGGGGTATACATGTGAAGATGGGCGGATCCTAGAGTCAGGATGGCAGCTGGATCTCCATAGGAACCATTATCAGTAGGGTGTGAACCCCACCTACAGGAGCTAAGTCTATGACTACAGACCTGTCCATTGTCCTTAACAGCAGGGAGCGGGGCCCACTGCAGTCTAGCAACTGATCAACCTCAGAGAGGATGCCTGTAAGCATCTGACCTCCCCCCACAATTGCTGAAGCATAAACGCTAAATTCACGATTCTAGAGTTCAGGTGGTATGATTTTAGCACAGAATGCCTTAAGAAATGAGGTATTGTTTCTAGCTTGATTTACAATGCAACTGTCCCTTCTCAGTATTATCAGCATTTCTGTAGACTTGGGAAAAGCAGATTATGGTTTCAAAACAGAAGTACTTCCGGAACAATGGGAAGCCATCATAAATATTGGAGTTAAAAAGAATTGATATATTTGAAATATTTATAAATGATTATATTTGGCAATGGATATAGATTAATTTTAAAAGTTACCAAATATGGAGACAGATGGGAATCTTTAAATAGAATTGGAATCTGTAAAGCTGCCTTACAACTTGTTTTAAAAATATATTTTTTAAAGAAAAGAAATGTGTGGGACTCTTAATTTGTATTAGTAAATTGGAAACATAGAGATAGATTAGCTAATAGTAAGTCTTGTCTTTATTTTTAACTACCTGTTAACTTAGTGGGGGAAACACATGTTTATAGTTGTGCTATACAAACTTGTATAAATGAACTATTTGAATCAAATCAATCTTGAATTTTAAACTATTTTGCACACAGTAAAAAATTCTTCATGTATGTAAGCTCTCTGATAAAACACATGCCTAATTTCATAATTTCTATCTCTCATATGTTTTCTTTCAGACTTTTATAGTATTGAATAAAGGGAAGGCAATTTTTCGATTCAGTGCCACTTCTGCCTTGTATATCTTAACTCCACTAAACCCTGTTAGAAAAATTGCTATTAAGATTTTGGTACATTCATATCCTTTTCATGTGGATTGTCTAAATGCTGTTTCTAATTACTGGTTTTGAAAAAAATGCCATTCTTATTTTAAACATGCACAATAGTCTGAAATGAATAGCACCACTGTTGGTTTAATTTGTGCTCATTGGTCTGCTATTTCTAACAAGATTATCAAAGGATGACTATTCTACAGTAAAAATATAATCATGATAGGGATTATATAAATGAAATGAATTTTAGTAGTAGGGACAACAGCATACTTTTATATCATACATACACACATAGCCAGTTATATCACGCATAGCCATTGCTGAAGAAACAGAATCTATGATGTATGTTAACAAATGTTTGTGCTCTAATTGGCTCTGTTTCTCCAGCACCTAGTTTATTCATTAATTCATACAGTTGCTAAATCTTTATTAAGCTCCAACAATGGTCTTCTGTGCCTTGTTTCAAAATATATTAAAAAGTTAATGAATTTAAGAATATAAGGATGGTACTGAAAATGTATTTACACAAGAGATGAACTGGTGTGGGCTACAAGAACATTCTCAGGTAAGCAATGATAAAATAAACAGATGATCTTCTCAGTGAGTGCTCAAGAATGGACATTTTAAAAAGGCACACTCAAAGGCCTAAATCAAAACGGAAAGACTAGATAGAGGAGGAGGTGCTCAATAACCTTCAGGTGCAACTAAATTCTTTCATGCTATGAGTTGGTATTGGAAGGTATTGACAGGTATTTATTTTAAAATAAAATAAATCACATGAAAATAAGGATAAATGTTCCTGAAGTCTGGATTAGGATTCTAAGAGAAATTGTGCCACCCACTTTCAGAAAGGCTTCCCAATTGGTGCTCAACTGTGGGATATTTTGGTATGATATGGACTAGACACAGGTAGACAAGTAGAGGACTTGTTCGATTTCTCCACAGTCTAAACTGGAAATTAGAAGATCAGATTTAACACTAACTCAACAGCAAAAAAGTAGTAATTTCCTTTATGCTTATGTTCACTCAAAACTCACTGCCATCCAGTTGACGCTGACTCATAATGACCCCATAGGACAGGATAGGACTGCCTCTGTGAGTTTCCATGCCTGTAACTCCATCTTTCTCCTGCAGAGAGCTGGTGTTTCCAACAGCTAATCTTGCAGTTAACAGCCCAAGATGTAACAACCACACCACTGAGGCTTCTCTATGCCTACTTACCGTCCCTTAAAGAACTA